CCAACCTCTCCAAGCTCTCAAGGCGATTGACAAGATGATTGATATGGGCGCGGCAGCAGACCCCAAGCTCTTGAAGGCAGCGGCGGAGGCCCATCACAAGGCCATCGGAAGCATCTCAGGTCCCAACGGTGTGACTTCTCGGGCGGATTGGGATGCGGTGAACGCGGCTTTGGGCCGCGTTGTGGCGTCCGTCCCCAAGGCAAAGGTCATGGACGTGTACAATGCCGTGAAGGACATCACTGACCCTGCCGTGCCGGGGTACATGAAGTCTTTGGTCAACGGTGCGGATGCCGAGAAGGCATACAAGGGCTTCTTGGAGTTCAAGGATGTGGTGGAAAAGAGCATTGGAGTTGATTCAGATCTATTTTTGATTATCTTGGCATTCCCACGTCGTTCTGCATCTGCGGTGCTTGTATTCTTAGCATCTTTTTAAATGAACTCCTGAAACATTCCAAGGAACCAGGTGTCTGCGGTTGGTGCTCCGGCCACTGTGCCCACTGGGGACAAGATTGGTGCGGCGGCGAAGGCCCTTTCGGATGCATCCTACCCTTTCTTGAAGGAGGTGCAGGATGGCAAAGAAGAACAATCTTTGCTGAAGACAAAATGAGAGACATCATTTGAGTCCCCATGCCAGAGCCAGTTCCTAAGGGTTTTGCAATGGGTTTCTTTTGACCGAGCATGCTGGGTTGTTTGTGCGCGTGCCCTCAGGTGGACTGGCTGTCCGACGTTTACCTGAAGCCGCTGCCAGGCACCACCGCCCCGAAGGTGATGACGGCCATTGACAAGATGATCGTGATGGGCAGCCAGATGGACGGAAACCTTCTGAAGGCTGCCGCTGAAGCGCACCACAAGGCCATTGGCAGCGTGGACGCCCAGGGAGTGACGTCTGCTGCGGATTACGAGGCAGTGAACGCAGCTATCGGGCGCATTGTCGCATCAGTGCCCAAAGCAACCGTGATGGACGTGTACAACTCCATGGCCGCAATTGTGGATGGATCCATTCCCAACAACATGTTCTCCAAGGTGAATCCTCTTGACGCAGCTGCCGCCGCGAAGGGCTTTTACACTTTCAAGGATGTGGTGGCTGCTTCCCAGCGCTGATGAGAGTCTTTGGCCGGTCGCGGCCACGACTCTATATGTAGCTGCTTTCCAACTGTGACTTTTTGAATTGTACAGTGCAGAAGATATGGTTGAGTTAGCGCCTTGACGACAATGTTGTGCCTCGAAGAAGTGTTATACGGGCTTGAGAGTACCAGGCACGGCGTTCAGAGGTGATTCTTGGCCTGGTTTAGTGCAGGAAGGAGGGGTGGTAGATGTTGATGCCAGCAGGTATTTGCTCTGTCTGAGAACATTTGCAGACTTGCAGAGAATCCCAAAGCTAGGTAAGCATGTTTCGAGGAGAGGCTTCAATGCTCATGTTCCCTTGAGCCTAAGTCGAGGGAGTGCTACTTTTGCCGGAGTTTTAGGCTCCATTCGCTGTTGCGCGCAGCAAAGTACCCCGCTCTTCTCTTGGAATCATGGCACGTTCTTCGTGGAAAGCCTTGAGCGTGGCTGCTGCGCTGGTCGCTTTGTACAACTTTTGCAACAGCTTGAGTTTTGTTCCGGGGCCCTTGAGAAAACATGTGCCCGTGGCAGCTGCGTCCGCAGCCGGCATGATGATGGCTCCAGCTGCCTACGCCGACGAAATTGGTGATGCAGCCAAGAAGCTTGGTGATGCTTCCTATGACTTCGCGAAGGAAGTGGACTGGAACAACGGCATCTTCTTACAAGCTCCTGGCAAGTTCCAACCTCTCCAAGCTCTCAAGGCGATTGACAAGATGATTGATATGGGCGCGGCAGCAGACCCCAAGCTCTTGAAGGCAGCGGCGGAGGCCCATCACAAGGCCATCGGAAGCATCTCAGGTCCCAACGGTGTGACTTCTCGGGCGGATTGGGATGCGGTGAACGCGGCTTTGGGCCGCGTTGTGGCGTCCGTCCCCAAGGCAAAGGTCATGGACGTGTACAATGCCGTGAAGGACATCACTGACCCTGCCGTGCCGGGGTACATGAAGTCTTTGGTCAACGGTGCGGATGCCGAGAAGGCATACAAGGGCTTCTTGGAGTTCAAGGATGTGGTGGAAAAGAGCATTGGAGTTGATTCAGATCTATTTTTGATTATCTTGGCATTCCCACGTCGTTCTGCATCTGCGGTGCTTGTATTCTTAGCATCTTTTTAAATGAACTCCTGAAACATTCCAAGGAACCAAGTGTCTGCGGTTGGTGCTCCGGCCACTGTGCCCACTGGGGACAAGATTGGTGCGGCGGCGAAGGCCCTTTCGGATGCATCCTACCCTTTCTTGAAGGAGGTGCAGGATGGCAAAGAAGAACAATCTTTGCTGAAGACAAAATGAGAGACATCATTTGAGTCCCCATGCCAGAGCCAGTTCCTAAGGGTTTTGCAATGGGTTTCTTTTGACCGAGCATGCTGGGTTGTTTGTGCGCGTGCCCTCAGGTGGACTGGCTGTCCGACGTTTACCTGAAGCCGCTGCCAGGCACCACCGCCCCGAAGGTGATGACGGCCATTGACAAGATGATCGTGATGGGCAGCCAGATGGACGGAAACCTTCTGAAGGCTGCCGCTGAAGCGCACCACAAGGCCATTGGCAGCGTGGACGCCCAGGGAGTGACGTCTGCTGCGGATTACGAGGCAGTGAACGCAGCTATCGGGCGCATTGTCGCATCAGTGCCCAAAGCAACCGTGATGGACGTGTACAACTCCATGGCCGCAATTGTGGATGGATCCATTCCCAACAACATGTTCTCCAAGGTGAATCCTCTTGACGCAGCTGCCGCCGCGAAGGGCTTTTACACTTTCAAGGATGTGGTGGCTGCTTCCCAGCGCTGATGAGAGTCTTTGGCCGGTCGCGGCCACGGCTCTATATGTAGCTGCTTTCCAACTGTGACTTTTTGAATTGTACAGTGCAGAAGATATGGTTGAGTTAGCCCTTGACGACAATGTTGTGCCTCGAAGAAGTGTTATACGGGCTTGAGAGTACCAGGCACGGCGTTCAGAGGTGATTCTTGGCCTGGTTTAGTGCAGGAAGGAGGGGTGGTAGATGTTGATGCCAGCAGGTATTTGCTCTGTCTGAGAACATTTGCAGACTTGCAGAGAATCCCAAAGCTAGGTAAGCATGTTTCGAGGAGAGGCTTCAATGCTCATGTTCCCTTGAGCCTAAGTCGAGGGAGTGCTACTTTTGCCGGAGTTTTAGGCTCCATTCGCTGTTGCGCGCAGCAAAGTACCCCGCTCTTCTCTTGGAATCATGGCACGTTCTTCGTGGAAAGCCTTGAGCGTGGCTGCTGCGCTGGTCGCTTTGTACAACTTTTGCAACAGCTTGAGTTTTGTTCCGGGGCCCTTGAGAAAACATGTGCCCGTGGCAGCTGCGTCCGCAGCCGGCATGATGATGGCTCCAGCTGCCTACGCCGACGAAATTGGTGATGCAGCCAAGAAGCTTGGTGATGCTTCCTATGACTTCGCGAAGGAAGTGGACTGGAACAACGGCATCTTCTTACAAGCTCCTGGCAAGTTCCAACCTCTCCAAGCTCTCAAGGCGATTGACAAGATGATTGATATGGGCGCGGCAGCAGACCCCAAGCTCTTGAAGGCAGCGGCGGAGGCCCATCACAAGGCCATCGGAAGCATCTCAGGTCCCAACGGTGTGACTTCTCGGGCGGATTGGGATGCGGTGAACGCGGCTTTGGGCCGCGTTGTGGCGTCCGTCCCCAAGGCAAAGGTCATGGACGTGTACAATGCCGTGAAGGACATCACTGACCCTGCCGTGCCGGGGTACATGAAGTCTTTGGTCAACGGTGCGGATGCCGAGAAGGCATACAAGGGCTTCTTGGAGTTCAAGGATGTGGTGGAAAAGAGCATTGGAGTTGATTCAGATCTATTTTTGATTATCTTGGCATTCCCACGTCGTTCTGCATCTGCGGTGCTTGTATTCTTAGCATCTTTTTAAATGAACTCCTGAAACATTCCAAGGAACCAGGTGTCTGCGGTTGGTGCTCCGGCCACTGTGCCCACTGGGGACAAGATTGGTGCGGCGGCGAAGGCCCTTTCGGATGCATCCTACCCTTTCTTGAAGGAGGTGCAGGATGGCAAAGAAGAACAATCTTTGCTGAAGACAAAATGAGAGACATCATTTGAGTCCCCATGCCAGAGCCAGTTCCTAAGGGTTTTGCAATGGGTTTCTTTTGACCGAGCATGCTGGGTTGTTTGTGCGCGTGCCCTCAGGTGGACTGGCTGTCCGACGTTTACCTGAAGCCGCTGCCAGGCACCACCGCCCCGAAGGTGATGACGGCCATTGACAAGATGATCGTGATGGGCAGCCAGATGGACGGAAACCTTTTGAAGGCTGCCGCTGAAGCGCACCACAAGGCCATTGGCAGCGTGGACGCCCAGGGAGTGACGTCTGCTGCGGATTACGAGGCAGTGAACGCAGCTATCGGGCGCATTGTCGCATCAGTGCCCAAAGCAACCGTGATGGACGTGTACAACTCCATGGCCGCAATTGTGGATGGATCCATTCCCAACAACATGTTCTCCAAGGTGAATCCTCTTGACGCAGCTGCCGCCGCGAAGGGCTTTTACACTTTCAAGGATGTGGTGGCTGCTTCCCAGCGCTGATGAGAGTCTTTGGCCGGTCGCGGCCACGGCTCTATATGTAGCTGCTTTCCAACTGTGACTTTTTTAATTGTACAGTGCAGAAGATATGGTTGAGTTAGCCCTTGACGACAATGTTGTGCCTCGAAGAAGTGTTATACGGGCTTGAGAGTACCAGGCACGGCGTTCAGAGGTGATTCTTGCTCTGGTTTAGTGCAGGAAGAAGGTGTGGTAGACGCTAGCGGTACATATCTGTCTGAAGAGATGTTCCCGAAACCAAGCAAACACTTTTTTTTGGGGTGGATGAGCGTGCCGTGTTTTGCAAAACATGAGCGGTGGTAATTTCTCGTGTTCTCAGGGTGGCGTCGAACAAGCCCACGCTCCATTCAAGCGTTATGCGGCACTTCGGCTACCCTGTCTTGGTGACCATCCAGGCATCTAGTGACCATCTCTCTGTATTTCTATTTAATATTTCCATACATTTCTGTATATTTCGATGTAAGAGTGCATCCCAGTGGACAGTTGTGTACTCGAGCTTCTTCTCGGAAAGGCCTCCTGGATCTGCTTCTTGGGCATCCGGGCCTTCACCTGTGGTGGAGCCACTTTGCTTATACATATTCGGACCATGATGACAGCTTGTTTGCACATATTGGCGTCCGAAAAGAAAAGGGCTTCCGAGCCTTCGAAACCTTCCGTGTGGTGCGGCTGAGGAGTGGCCTCACTTCTTCACCAGCACACGGTATCTGAACGTTGTGCACAAGCAGCGGGGGCCCATCGAGATCCCGGCGGACATCGCGCGGAAGGTCAGGTTCTTATGCAAAGCCTTCCTCCCATGACTTGGGGCACCCGAGAGGTGACTGAAGACGAGGATTCCTCCACTGAGTCGTCCATAAACTACAAGGACCCAACGTTGGACCTTGTCCCTGTCTATGGGCACGAGCTCTTCAGCTCTTCCTCTTGCCTTCCTTCGTAAGTTTCTAGTGTCTTCAGGAGTCGCAGCATGCCATGGCCATCGCGCAGCCGTTGATCGACGTACTAAGCCTCACAGCTTGCAAGCAGTTGGACTCGATCATACACGAGCATACGCCCATGTACCGAAATCACTGAAAGCTGCTTCTGTCGGCCCTTCGCAGAGCGAAGGCCTGATCGCTGACCTGCCCCAGTCCTCCTCTTCGCGTGCAGCTGTGTTCCAGGCGGTTCTGTCATGTTCTGTCTTGTCCATGCCATGTCCACCTGCCTTGTTCTATGGCGGGGAGGGGGGGGGGCATCATGAGGCATCTTTTCATCTCGCTTCGTTTGCAGGCCAGAGACTGGCTAAGAGAAGCTGCACGCCTGCGGCTTGGAATGCTGAAGTGGCTGAAGCTGCTGAGGCTTCCCAGATGAGTTGTCCTCTGCCTCAGGTGCTGCTGGTGTGCTGCGCACATCCCTGACCGTGAAGGGCTTCTGGGTCTACTTGCCCATGAGTGGCCTGGACAATGAGGACACAAATGGCTGTTTTGTGGAACATGGGTCGGGTAGAGCCGAACATCCGGAAACTGGCAGGGCTCTGTACCTCATTGGGTGGATGTTAATGGCATCGACTACGCGTATCTTGGCAGGTTTATGATAAGCTGTCAAGACGTGATATGCCGAGATGATGTAATAGAAGAGCGTGTCGCTACTGGACTCCAGGGACGACTGCAGAGACGAACCTCAGCTGCATCATTTTCTTACAGGTGCTGCGAGGGCCGGTTGTGCAACCTGCAAAAAGCACACCAACATCTGGTGCACGCTGGCGCTTGCTAGCATGGTACTGGTACCTTGTTGAATCTTTGCGTGTTTTCCTGCCCTATGACTCGCGTATGACGCCCTTTGTATCCTGCCAAGGCCACGGAAGCTTTCATGCTGCCGGAGCTGCTCCAGGCAGCGGACATGGCTGCCGAGTCGCTGCATGCGCAAGCCGTGCGTTGGACAGCCTGGATCTCAGAAGATTCGTGGGAACTCTGGGAACTTGGCCCTCAGTTCCCGCAAAATCTCGACTCACTTTGCCTGTATGTTTCCCATTAGCTGGAGTTGGTTTTGAACATGTTCGGACGACGTGTGGCGCGAGATGGGAGGGAACGCTTCTTGTTTTCAAGAAATCGCCCATGTAGTCCATGCAGCTGTGTAAGGGACAAGTCTACATCTGATTCTTCCGGATGCCGTACTGCTTATGACAGTCAGGGGCATCGGCCCTTTTGCAACGTTTGTACTGCATTTTTTGGGGACAGGGCGGGGGCCCGCCCGCAGAAGTGTTGCCAAGCAATCCTGTGTTCCGATGTCCCTCAGTGTGGGGCCTGCTGTGTCCCCGTCTGCCCCTGTGTTTCTCCCTATGCCCTATGACATATGACATTGTGTCCTTTCGTATCCTTGCCTGTCCTTTTGTGTCCATTTGTGTGTCCTTTGGCGTCCCTTCTGTGTGTCCTTTCTGTCAAGCCGAGGTCCATGACATGCTGAGGCTCGCATCCTACGGAGGCACAGCGCGGTGTCTTGCGGTTTAGGTTTTTGGTCAGAAGCTTCCCGAATCGTCCGTTGCAAGGTGTGTGTGTGTGTGTATTCAGAATCCGGCTGCTGCAGTACCTGTTCCTCCAGGGTCGTTTGTTGTCGTTTTCCTGCGCCATGGGTGGCCACAGCACTCGTTGTGGATGTCGTGGGGGGCAGTGCGAGAGGCAGTGCGAGAGGCTGTGTGAGAGGCTGTTGGGGCAAGGTATGCCGGCCTTACGCCGGGGTTTAATCCGAGCCACGTATGCGCCGGATCCGCCCGTTTTTGCGAAATGATCGCGCATTCCTGGGTTTTAGACAAACCATTGCGATGGTAGTTGGGCGTATGCTTTTGCTGCTCGCTTGGTTGTTGGCACACTGTTGTTGACCTGTCGTCATTGAACTTGTGCTTGCAGGCGAGCCGGTGACGGGCGTGAACAGCTTCCTGTTTCAGTTCGAGAACATCTCGGACCGCACTTTACGAAAGAGGGGTTCTTGCCAAACTGAGAGGGGGTTCGGCTAATGCACGGAGAGACTGCAGAAGGCCACTGACCACACTGCAGGTCCGCTCAGACTCAACAGATGTCAAAAGACTGGATTGTCGGGTGGCGCAGGACAGGATGCGAACTTTCGTGCCCTCAGCCGACCATCTCTTCAAGGTTGCCATGGCCCCTCAGCTGAGATTTCATCTGTCTGTTTCACACATGGATATCATCGTATGTCAGAAGCGGGTGCTGTACAGTGGCACGCGACTCGATGCTTGCTAACTTCAGCAGCTCTGTTGGCGAAGCTCTTTTTGATGGCCCATCCCTGCCTCAGGGCCTGGTGTCTCTTTTTTGGGTCATGGCTTCTCGGCTGCAGGAGACTTGACATGGGCTGTCTCATTGGCCAGTCACCTTTGTAGCGCGGTTTATGTCATCTGGTGGCTGACCTGTGCCGACCAGGAAAGTGGAGAGCTGTGTGGTGGTGGTCAAGACAACAATAAAGTTGCAGCAACAGTCCCGCTTCCGTGCTGAGGTTTGGGTGTGGTCTATCTTGGCCGCCACAGAGCTCTTCCAGAAAGTCTCGCTTAGCGGCACGATGCAGCAGTTTACTCTCGACACTCCGTGCTGACCTCAAGGTATCCCACACGCATCAATGCTTTGCGCTTTGGAATCGAAGTATTCCTCGGGTAATGGGTGCTTGTTTTGATAATGGGCGCTTGCCTGCAAACAAGCATCGCAACAAGGTGGCGGACAGTGACATCTTTTGGCTGCACCCTGGAAGGCGCTGCATAGCCATGATCACGCCACTGTGGCTGTGAAGGCTGTTCTAGTTAGGCGTCCGCAAACGCAAAGACTTACTCTGAACCCTAAACTAAACCCTAAACCTAAAATTCCAAAGCCCTTAAACCCTAAACTGCAACAGAATCCTGTTTGTCTGGACTTCCCCTTGTGCAACTTGAGAGCAGCGCCTGGAAGGAGAGCACTACGTGGTCACAGATTCCATCGTCGTTCAGATCCTGTCTGAGGCCCCAAAGGGCGGCGAGAAGACCCCTCCGTTCAAGCATTGAGGGCGGCCTTATGCATCCAAAAGCTTAGAGGCCCAGTTTGGTCCCTGAGCCTCGCGAAACCAGGAGGGCAACGTCTGGCTCGAGTTCGGCGCCTGCGACGGAGCCCCGGTCCTGGCCGTGGACTTCGGCCAGCAGGGTGAGGTGATCGCCACGTGCCAGCCACTCGGAGAAAGCCTAGGGAGGATCAAGGGGACTCAGGAGCTCCTACTGTAGGTCGGATTTGCAGCTTTTCTCTTTCTGGGTGAACTCTCGCTATGTTGCAACCTTTCTCTCTCACTCCGCGCTGAGCAAACGCTTTCGCTTTTTTAAAACTCTGAGTGGTTCAGGGTTTAGGGTTTGGGGTTTAGGGTCACCGGTCCAGGTTTTAGGGTTTGAGGTTTCGCTCTTCAGGGTTCGGAAGTCTGGCTCCGCCTCTCTGCCGCCATTCCTTGGATCCCTGGCCCCTAAGGGCCCTGAGCCCCGCCCCCGGAACCGTAACTTTTCAGGGGTTGCTGGTTGCATCCACTCTGGACCCTGACCCTAAGTTCAGCCAGGAGCCCTTGCAGGACGAAATCGGATTCCCAGTGGCTCAGTGGCTCAAATCAGATAACAGATAACAAGGAAGGCAAGTCAACAAACTTACGTTTGTCGGATTCTGGGTGCAGCGTGCTGAAAACGCTGCCTCAAACTCAGAAGCTCGTACAGTCTCCCAAGTCAGCCTGCGATACAGGGAAAACCGAAAACAAGCGCCGACATAGATGCTGACTTGTCGCTCGCTGTTTTATGATTTGAGCTTCCTTGCTTTACGATCCACCCCTTTGTTTCTTTACGGCCATGAGTCGCCCCTCACCCGATCCTTTCCAGTTTTAAGTGCGGCTCTTTGTTCAGGCATTTGACAGAAACTGTTGCAAGGTCACCTTGGATTCAGTTTGTTTACATCTTTTGAATGTGCTGGCTCTAAGGGTGACTTACTATTGCGCTGCAGGGAAGCAGATGTCTGACGGTTAACGGCTTCAGATAGCTGACAGGACTTAAGACAATTTATCGTTCGCATCTGACTTACGAGCACTGCCAAGCAGTCCCTCATCCTTCAACCCTTTGCGCTGCAACGAATGGCAGGATTCACAAAACCCAAGCTGCATGGTCTGGGGCACTTGGTACTCTATACGCATACTGAAGGCGCGGACCAGCGCAAGAAGGCTCACGTAGAGGGGAAGATGAGCAATTTGGAACGCAGACGCAAGCACGGGATGGCGTCAACTGCATCAACGGCGTCAATGCCAAGGGTGCCAAGGGCGTCAAATCGACGGCGCAAAGTTTCGGCATGAGTCCGTAATCTCGGGGCGGGCTTGATGGTTCCCCCCCAGCTGTGCCGAGGAAAGGCATCCAAACCACCTGGCTGGCAGGGGCACAGGCCCGGAGCTTGGCCTTCTCCAGTAAATAGCCCTTCTGATAGTCGTGGCTACTGGGGGGAATCCTTTTCCCCCAAGTGTAGTGCATCGGTCATCCAGATTCATCGAGGTGCAGGAGCAGTTCTGGGTCTCCAACGTCTCAGGCTTGCAGGACTTCTCAGTGGACCGGTCGCCCTTGGAGGCTTCGCGGGGATGGGATATGGGGGATGGTTTTTTCGGTCGGGTTTTTTAGGGGCCCCCTGTTGTGGGTTGGTTCTATGACGTAGGCGCCTCTTCTCTAGAGAGGTGTTGCAGGTGGGGCTTCTTCACCACGTGGCCCGTTCCATTGGGTTGCAGTCAGTCAGTCAGTTTGTGTGTGTGTGTTGGTATTCATTGCAATGCGGCTTGCACACCACGGGAGAAGAACATGCGCCGCATACCAAGAGCATTGGCAAACAGGACCCGGCACATTTGGATGCCATAGCCATCCGCAGCAGCCCCAGCTCTTGCGAGGAGCTCATAGACTTGGCCCGTGGCATCGTACCCTAAACCCTGAACCCCAAACCCTAAACCCTAAACCCTAAACCCTAAACCCTAAACCCTAAACCCTAAACCCTAAACCCTAAACCCTAAACCCTAAACCCTAAACCCTAAACGATACTGTTTCATGTTCTGAGCGTTTTCTCAGGCGGTGAGAAGATCATCGGCTTGCGGCACCACCCAGACTCCAGCTGGCGGGAGGTTGGCATCCTGAATGTGCCCCCCGTCAAGCTCCCCGGCTTCTGAATGACATTTCTTTGACCACCACCTTGTTCGTTGCGAGTTTGTGCGATTGCTGTCTGAGTTTGATGTGTGGAGTTATTGCAGTTGGAGAGATCTCAGGGGCCATTTTAGCGCCGTGGCCGTGCGGAGGGGACGTGCGCCTTTGCTCAAGAAGTCATGGCGGCTGCAGGGAACGGCTTGTCCGTATTTGTCCGTAAAGCCCTTAAGTCTCGACAAGTTGGCCGCACGCCGGCAACGTGTCATCCTGAGCCCGAAGAGAATGTGTTTAACCGCTGCCTTCTCAGGCCCTGCTGCTGACGAGTGTGGATGAGATGTACGAGTTGGACGTCCCATCAGGCAGTGTGCATCAGTGTACTGTGTTCCCTGCACCTCGCACCTCGCCGCGCCTCAGCCGGAAGCCTAGGCGTCTGGGCTGGGCCCATGCTTCTCCCCAACAAAAACAACGCCGACTCCTACGCAGCATGGCTCAATTTGGCTCCTGAGAGTCTGCCCCACTTGAGCGACTGACAATCAGCTTCCAACCCTTGGGTACGAATGGCTGGTGCATTCAGGTGCCTGGACTGTGGACTTTCAAGCTAGCATGACAAATGACCAAGGACTGGGTCTCCATGTGCAGGTTGACGCATGGTAGGCGCGGAAACCTGTGAAGGTTCGGATTGACTTTTTGCCAGCATCGGCGTTTTTCTGTGCAGGTGGCGCTTCTTGGGTCACCCGAACGGCCTACCGATGCAGATGTGGAGATTCGAGCGGCCGCCTGTTAATGCCTTGCCGCCACGGGAGGATCCGTAGCTTGAGTCATGCTCAAGTGCCAGGTGCAGACTCAGAAAAAAAGGACATCAGGTCTCCTGTTAGCCCCACATGTAACATACGAATTTCTAGGAAGAAGCCCTTTTGGAAACTCACCTTTTTGATCTGTATGCCCTCCCGTGTGGCATCTCTTGTTTTCCGCTGGCTCACCTCGTAAGACTGCCTTCAGCTGCCAAGATTGATGTTACTGTCCAGAACTCTTGCAACAGTTTTTGAGTTTCTGCTAAAACATCTTGTTTTGCAGTACTTAAGACAAGCCTCCAGAGAGGACAGCTGATCTTTTCGAGGGTCAGCGGGTGTTGCCAGCCAGCTAATACGTAGAAGTGACGTCCTCAGGCTGTCCGGCTTGGTGGATACCAAAACGGAGTTCCCCTTTCGGGCACTGTGGACCACTGCGGTAGAGTAGCAAGTTTTAATGTCCACATTCGGGTGTACGCCGCACCGCACAGTCGAAGAATCTTCGTTGGCAGTGTGCCGCTGCATCGCTGAGTGTTAAAAGTCTTCAGGGCGTGGGGCTTTGCCAGCACGGCAGGGTTTCAGTTCGCAACATCGTGCGTCGCCTACTTGCATGTTGCAGCCAGTGCGGTGGCATTCCGCGCGGTACCTGCTATGATTCTGGCAGTAGGGTTCGCGGATGCTTTTCTCAACAACCACAGGTCAAACTTCGAGCTTTTTTTCAGATCTTCTCTCTTGTTGCCCTGCTTGTGTTCGCTTTACCATTGTGAGACAACTCCCCGTGCGGCCCCCCCAAGACATGCACACGAGGGGGGGGATCTGTTTCACACGCACTCACACACAGACAGAGACAGAGACAGAGACAGAGACAGAGACAGAGACAGAGACGGAGACGGAGACGGAGACGGAGACGGAGACGGAGACGGAGAGACAGAGAGACAGAGAGACAGAGAGACAGAGAGACAGAGAGACAGAGAGACAGAGAGACAGAGAGACAGAGAGACAGAGAGACAGAGAGACAGAGAGACAGAGAGACAGAGAGACAGAGAGACAGAGACACAGAGACAGAGACACAGAGACAGAGACAGAGACACAGAGACAGAGACACAGAGACAGAGACAGAGACAGAGACACGCGCATGCACGCGCACGTGCACGCGCACACGCACGCGCACGCGCACGCGCACGCGCACGCGCACGCGCACACGCACCAGAGAGTGGCTCTGGGACGTCCGAGAGGTCAGAGATGTCCGTTTGGCTTCTTCTCCTTCACGTCGAACATCGACAGCCACTGGACACCCTGGGGGCGTTCTTCTGACTTCAAAGCTGGCTAACGTAGTCAGGTCTCGACATTCTGGTGCCCTTCGTAGGTGTTTGCAGCAGGGATACCAAAAAAGGACCATAGCTCGGGGCACGGGGCGCTGACGGCTGACGACACGAAGCTTCGGATTGCTGTGAGGACGGCTTCCGGCATGTCGGCGGAGCGAGTGCTGGAGGCAAAGGGGCGAGCCCGCAGAAACATCAGAAGATTGCCGGTTCAGCAAAGGCTTAGATCCATCTGCGGATAGAAGATGGGCACTCCTATCCCTTAAACCCCCTAAACATCCCTACCCAGTAGACATCCCCTAAAGCCCTAAACTCCCCTAACGGGAGAATCTGTAAACCTCGATTCGTGTCTCCCCCTAAACCCTGAGAGGTGCACGGCGCGGTGAAGTGGCTCCAGTGCTCGAAGCCCTGCTGCCCCGACGTCTGGAAGGCACCCAAGAAAAAGGGATATCGAGAGGCTTAGAGTTTTTGGGGGGGGGTGTAGGGTTGACGGTTTAGGCTTGCTGATGCCTTCTGAAACGGGGTGGGGGTGGGGGGGGGCCCGGGGCTGCTGATATGGTGCGCGCGTCTCTCGGGCTCGGGCATGGGCCGCGGATGCGCACGATGCGCGCCCCGGGTCCGGGACTCGAGCCGCTGATGCACGCCCTCTTTGACACGGCGAAGGGCTTCCGCGGGTTGCTCCAAAAAATTTGCTCACAATGGACATGGCCCCCGGACTTCGAAGTGGCCGAAGCCGCCAAGGACCCATAGGACCCCTGATGCCAAGATGGCACTGTTGAGGAGAGGGGGTTCCCAAGGAGGTTTTAGGGGGTTCCCAGGAGGTGCCAGGAGGGAAGGTCCGGCAAAAGCCTCCAAGCGCCTCGCCTCCAAGAAGGCCTCGCATATGATGAAAAACGCACCCCTTGCTTCTGAGCTTTTGTTTGGCCATTCAAGAGGTGTTCCCGCTTTGTGTGCGCGCTTGTGTGCAAGCAGCTTCGGCTTCCCCTGTGCGTTTTGCCTGACAGGCACCAGCAGACCATTCCCTGGCGGAAGATCCGCAGACTCACCGAGTGCAGGGAGCGCGGGCCTTGAGCAACCTTGAGATTCTACGACTCTTCCATTTTTTCGCTGCGGTTCTTCACCAATGAACCTCTGAGATGTCTGCCCGGAGTCTTCGAAGGTGCTGCCGACCTGCCCGAAGTGCAAGGCCGTTGTGGGGGGATTTCCAGTAGCGGGTTTTCTTTGCGCAACAACGACATGCCACATGTAAACGTTGTTCTGCAGACCTGTTCACAGCTTGCCACGCTTGAGGCAGTCGCCAGACCCAATGTGCAGATGTTTGGCGGCGATTCTGCAGCTTGTGCCATCTTTATTTTGGACATGGCTGATCTGTTCCGTGATGTTTCCGTGTTCACTTTGGTCGTTGCAAGCTGAGAGATTAAGTTGTCGTGGCACCTGGCAGGATGACGTACTTTCAAGAAACTCACCAAGACTTCGTGCGACTGTTTCGTTTGTTGCGGTGCCGAACTTTGCCAGGGATTCTCGCGGGCACGCCGTGGTGCGCAGAACACCAGGTGCCACGACTAAAGCCTGGAGTTCGAGTTGAAGTTGGTCCACCACAAGCGATTCTGCCTTCTGGCTCTTGGCACTTCCTTCGGATTCAATGGAGGTACGATGCTTGGGTCAATGGCCTGGCATCACGGCCCGATGTTAATAGCAGCCTGGCAGCACAGCCTGCAGCACTTTGGATGCGTGATTCGGCCCCTGAAGTGTTCTGGACCACTGGACCAGCCTCTGCTGTTTGCAGTTGTGCAGGTCTCAGTGTAGTCTGCTTGGAAGCCCGGCACTCGGTTTCTGAGCCTCACTGGCCGGCAACCGCAGAATGGCATAATGCTAACGCCAGCGCACCGCTCCTGGCACGGAGGTGAAGAGGGGGTTCAGCCGGGTAGGTAGGTATACATGTACGCTTGCGTGCGCATGATTCATACACGTATGTTGGTACAATTTGTGCGCACTCCTTGAGTGACGGCTCAGATGTGGAGCGATGCTCAGGTCGGTTGCGGACTCACTGTTCCGACCGTCAGACGGGAGCTCGAGAAGGTTGTACAAAGGCTCTGCTCTCACGAGTGGGATGTTCGTGTGTTTCAGTGCATCAGAATATCTTTTCTTGTGCCGCCGCGATTTTATCGCAGATTCCCGGGTGGCCGCCTGATTCGTGCCGGGTGCTGAGCTTGTAGGGGCGTCAGAATGGGGGATTCGGCGTTTCCGGTCTCCAGGTCAACCCAGAGAACCCCGGACTTGCCAAAGAGCTGGTCGAGAAGGGAGCTCTGAACTTAGTAGTAGTACATGTTAGTACCATGTCTCTCGACGTCGGTGCAGCAAGAAGGTATACTGGTACTAAAGAGAAACGAGGTGAGTGTGCCGCTGCCGGCATCTGCTGCCATTGAGAAGCTGAGTCAGCAAGCCAGGAGCTTAGAGGGCACTCAGTGTTTTGCCGGCGGTTTGCCAGCGTCCCTGAGCGCGAGGTGGCGCAGACTGAAGAGACCATGCAGGCGCTGGGCTAGTAGAGATGTCATTGCGGTGCTGGCTTCTGCGGTTTCTGCAGCTTCCTGCCTCAGCTGGTTTGCAGAATGCAGCTCCCGGAGGCCACCTACGTTCTGTGGGGCGTGGAGGGCGGCTGCGAAATCCGCGCGCCGTTCGGGACACACAAAATACATGTGCCAAAGTTGTCGTCGAGGTCATCGGCAGTTAATCAGCAGGCAGGCTACAGCAGGCATTGGATACCTTTTGCTTACTTACGAAGGACATGCCTGGGACGACTGCTACGCTTGGTGGAGACCCAGGGCCGGATGACGGTGGATTTCAAGCCGGACTGAGGGAGGGAGCGAAGCTTTTTGGGAAGCATTGTCGGTGTGGGACGAGTGACAAGTGTGTGGAGAAAGGGTCGGCTCGCAATGCCGCCGTGGAGGACGTCGTTGGGATTGTGAAGCAGGCGATGGGACCCAGGACGGAGCCCATCACCTTGGAGAAGCCACGAGCCTAAGCAAACATGATGTGAGGGAAGAGAGGCGTGTGCATTGGGGCTTTGATGCCTTCGGCCGAAATCAAGGTCCGTCCCGATGGACATGTACCAGGAGTGCAGCGGAGTGCAGCCCCTAAGCCTTCGACATCCCTAGACATTCCTCGACTCCCTAGGCTCCTTAAACTCCTTCGACTCCCTCAGCACTACACTCCCTGGGTCCTAAGCATTCCTTGCAGGAGGTGAAGCTTGGAGAGGGCTCCAAGTTGGAGGCGCAGAGGGTCGGGGGGAGAGCTGGCCCAACGTGTCGCGCTGGGCAACTTCAAGCAACACGAAGCACAAGCAGCAACAAAAAAAGCAGCAAGCAGCAAGCAGCAAGGAGCACAGAGCGGCAAGCAGGGGAGACGGCCAAAGGCAGCGGCCGAAGCCAAAGCGGCGCAACTTGAGCAATCTGAAGCACATAAGGCCGACTCGGCCGAGACAGGGAAGAAATCCTCCTGACAGAGAGCCGCAAAAAGCAGCCCCGTCAGGAACAGTCCCCCCACACGAAAACAGCTTGTTGCTTTTTTTTGATGTCCGGCACTTCCGACTTTTGATGGTCGTTTTCAGCGAAGCCCGGGAGGTAACGGCGATCCTGCGGGTTATGGCCAAGTTCTCGTGCGGGCCCTTGGCACTGTGGCACAGACGAGTTGCAGTCGTTGCACAGGGCCTATTAAACTGACCCCTAAGCCCTAAGCCCTAAACCCTCAACCCTGACAAGCACTAGGGGTGGCAGCTCCAGTGTGGGCGGCTTCAGCCTCAACGCTCCACTAGCCAAGCGGGTGGATCAGGCGCAAAGATTTGGGAGCAACAGCGGGGCTGCTTGCAAATTGTCCGGCAATTTCGGGTTCAAGCATATAGCAGGGCCGTTTTCAGGGGCGGCCGGGGAAAGGAATGCTTTAAGGCTTCAGGGAGTTCGCGCAGTCGCTTCCAGATCTGTGCTTACTCGCCTTGCTCGTTGCTTTGCTTGCCGTCGGCTACTTTGGATTCTTGCATTGGACATATGTTTCCTGAGGGTTGTGTGTAGTACTTGCACGATGCGGAGGCTTTGTCCTCCACCTGCCCGCACATGTTTGTGCATCTCTCTTGAAAAGCTTCCAGAGATTCAGCTTTCATGACAAGGCAGGCAGCATGTTGAAAGAGGAAAGCAGCGCATGTAGAGTCGTAGAGCACATTCAGATCTGAATCAATTTGCATACGCAGCCCTCAGACAGAGAAGCCTTAGCCGCCTTAGCCTTAGGGTCTGTGCCGATGGCAAGCATGTATGATGTCATCGTGATTGGTGGTGGCAGCGGCGGGAGTGCATTCTCCAAGCGTGCTGCAAGTGGCAGCCTCAGCAATCCCAAGCCCTAAGCCCTATGCCCTATGCCCTAAGCCCTAAGCCCGAAGCCCTAAACCCTTTACCCTAAACCCCTTTCGGCACTCCCGAGCCTGAGGCTATGGAGCGAAGGTGGCTTTGATCGAGCGGGGGCCATCCTGGAATGAGCAAGGCACGAAGCAGCATGACAAAAGCGCAACAGCACGCAAACATTTTGGACATGTGCCTGCACACGTACACGTACAGGTACATCAAAATACATAATATACATACGTATTGTTTTAGCAGTTTCGGAGTCACTAGTAAAGAGCACCCCTGCATAACATGTACCTGTTCATGTCTATGATTCGTAGAGGTATACATGTACGGATATGCGTATGTATATGTATGTGCATGTGCACATGTAAATAAATACATAGACCAAAGAATGTATAATGAATATGTATATATATATATATGTACATATATATGTCTATATATATATATATATATATATATATATATTATCATTTGATAATCTATATATATATATATATACATATGCATAGAAGGGATGCATTCGTTGTCCCGGTTAATGAGCAGGATCAGGTGAATCGGCATTTCGTGGTTTCTTCGCTCAGCCATGCATCAGCTTCAGGTCAGCGAACCGGTGCCGGGCCAGGAGGTACCTGCGTCAACGTGGGATGTGTGCCGTCGCTTGGCCTTAAGGCTTTGGGGTTACCGGCTGAGTTGGCGGTTTCTGGTATGAGGCTTAAGGGCCGAGTAGCTTCCTTCAGTGTACGTGTTCCGATGTGTCGAGTGGCCAGGAAGAAGCTGATGTTCATGGCTGCCGCACATCGCGAGATGATGGTGGGAGAGATTTCCACTGCCAAGGCAGCGCTTACGCCAGTATGTGGCACCTCGCCCACAGTTCCCGGGAGTTGTACACATGCCCCCCGATCTTGTCAGGGCTATGGCTTCACCGTGCCGGATGCAGCCGGAAAGCTTCAGTGGGAGGCGCTGCAACAACGTCGCGATGCCTATGTGAAGAAGTGGCTTGGGGCGATCTGGTCTCGGGTTGGACGGACCCTCTGTCGAGGCTCTCCGACATAGTTTTGCATTTGGGGTTTGGGGTTTGGTTTCTGGTTCCGTTGACGTTGAAAAGCTTGCTTGGAGTAGTTTCTAATGTAGTCTTACTGCTTAGCAGCGGACCAGCTAGCAACCAAAAAGGAGCAGCGAGTACTGTGGAGGAAAAAATCTGCACGAGAGCAAACCTACGGCTGCGCGGTTATTCGCGCGACCAGCCGAACGTCTTGCAGCTGCTGTGCCTTCCAATCCAAGCCACCACCTGGCTTAAGAGCCTTGAGTGGTGTCGCCAAACATCTTGAAAAGACCTCCAGCTTCAAGAGCAGTGCTCTTGCAGACTGAATTCAACAAGATAAGGCATCGTCTGGGGAGCATGGCCAGGGTGGAGGGGGTGGAGAGGGAAAGTTGAGCAAGGCATTTTTAGATTGGCTGCTAGATGCTCCTAGATGCCTGGTCCGAGGCCTGGCCCAACTCGGCCCACTTCTTCGAGCTGTTGTAAGCCATTGGTTAGGGAGCTGATCCGGCAGCTTTCAGCACGCCCTGTCTCAGGTTGAACAACAACTACACAAGTGGCTGGAAGAAGGAAGGCCGGGAGCTGGATGAATATCTGCAGCTCACTGACAATGGTCAATCGATGTCAATCGTGCAAGTGCATCCCGTTCCAGGCGTGGAGGTCATCGAAGGCCTCCCTTGCATCTGTAGTGTCGGAGCCTTGGGTGGAGACGCATGCAGCATCCAACACGCCACCCTCAACAGGGACGGCCAAGTTCATGGATTCGAGTACCGTGGAGGTGTCGCTCGGCAGATCTCAGCAGTGCAAGACGTCCACGATTTGGGGTGTCGTATGAGTTTCTTGTTGAGCACTAGCGAAGGCAGCGCAATGATGGCAGCAAAACCACGCTGCGCGGAAGGAAGATCCTCATAGCATGCGGAGGTATCCCAGCTGCTCCACCAATTCCCGGTTGCGAGCATGCGAAGCCTGGCTTGTCGTTGTTTAGCCATTTTTAAGAAAGATAAATCGGAATGTGTGTTTCCCAAGCAGCTCAAGCAGCTGCAGTTACTTTGGGATGCAAGGATTAACAGCGACGGCTTCTTCGAACTCAAGAAGCAGCCCAAGAAGGTTCACATCTTAAGTTGAGTATCCTCATCCTTGAGGGTTTTAGGGATCTTTAGGGCATGCATCATGCAAATTTAACGCGTGGATAGCTTTCTGTGAACCCCTGAAAGGTTGCAGTTGTTGGGGCCGGCTACATTGCAGTTGAGATGGCTGGAATACTTCACGCTCTGGGGTCAGAAACGCACCTGTACTTCCGTTCCTTGGCAGGCGGAAGTATTCTAACGCACGGCTTCCAGATCCCAATTGCACTTATCTTCAACAGTCCAATGCCTGTGCCAGGCTGTGCTTAAGCTTTTCTCGACGTCGTGATTTGCCCTACCCAGAAGGAGATAGCATCACCCCATCCACGCACTCCTTCCACACCGTTGGCCCGGTGTGGGGCGCAGCTTGCAATGGGTATTCCCCATGCTCCTTGGGGCCAACACGCCATGGGTGAGTTTGGCGAATGACAACAGGGCGATGGGCTAACGCGCCTGTTGGGGGGCAAGCCGGCCAGGAAGGTGCTCTGGGCACCATGCATGGTAAGTCTCGCATCCTGGCTACGACAGGAGGATGCATGCTGTTGACAGGGGAGGCCGTAAGCATTCTGTTTGGGACCTTGTTTGCAGGTGCAGAATCGACATTAGTTCAAGTTGAGCTTGACCGGATGTGGTTGGCATGCCAGAAGCGTTCCGAGTCGTTTCGCGATAGCTCGACAACTGGTTGGTTGCCTATTCGTTTTGGTCTCCGCCCTACCCAGAAGGAGATAGCATCACCCCATCCACGCACTCCTTCCACACCATTGGCCCGGTGTGGGGCGCAGCTTGCAATGGGTATTCCCCATGCTCCTTGGGGCCAACACGCCATGGGTGAGTTTGGCGAATGACAACAGGGCGATGGGCTAACGCGCCTGTTGGGGGGCAAGCCGGCCAGGAAGGTGCTCTGGGCACCATGCATGGTAAGTCTCGCATCCTGGCTACGACAGGAGGATGCATGCTGTTGACAGGGGAGGCCGTAAGCATTCTGTTTGGGACCTTGTTTGCAGGTGCAGAATCGACATTAGTTCAAGTTGAGCTTGACAGGATGTGGTTGGCATGCCAGAAGCGTTCCGAGTCGTTTCGCGATAGCTCGACAGCTGGTTGCCTATTCGTTTTGGTCTCCGCCCTACCCAGAAGGAGATAGCATCACCCCATCCACGCACTCCTTCCACACCATTGGCCCGGTGTGGGGCGCAGCTTGCAGTGGGTATTCCCCATGCTCCTTGGGGCCAACACGCCATGGGTGAGTTTGGCGAATGACAACAGGGCGATGGGCTAACGCGCCTGTTGGGGGGCAAGCCGGCCAGGAAGGTGCTCTGGGCACCATGCATGGTAAGTCTCGCATCCTGGCTACGACAGGAGGATGCATGCTGTTGACAGGGGAGGCCGTAAGCATTCTGTTTGGGACCTTGTTTGCAGGTGCAGAATCGACATTAGTTCAAGTTGAGCTTGACAGGATGTGGTTGGCATGCCAGAAGCGTTCCGAGTCGTTTCGCGATAGCTCGACAACTGGTTGGTTGCCTATTCGTTTTGGTCTCCGCCCTACCCAGAAGGAGATAGCATCACCCCATCCACGCACTCCTTCCACACCATTGGCCCGGTGTGGGGCGCAGCTTGCAATGGGTATTCCCCATGCTCCTTGGGGCCAACACGCCATGGGTGAGTTTGGCGAATGACAGCAGGGCGATGGGCTAACGCGCCTGTTGGGGGGCAAGCCGGCCAGGAAGGTGCTCTGGGCACCATGCATGGTAAGTCTCGCATCCTGGCTACGACAGGAGGATGCATGCTGTTGACAGGGGAGGCCGTAAGCATTCTGTTTGGGACCTTGTTTGCAGGTGCAGAATCGACATTAGTTCAAGTTGAGCTTGACAGGATGTGGTTGGCATGCCAGAAGCGTTCCGAGTCGTTTCGCGATAGCTCGACAACTGGTTGGTTGCCTATTCGTTTTGGTCTCCGCCCTACCCAGAAGGAGATAGCATCACCCCATCCACGCACTCCTTCCACACCATTGGCCCGGTGTGGGGCGCAGCTTGCAATGGGTATTCCCCATGCTCCTTGGGGCCAACACGCCATGGGTGAGTTTGGCGAATGACAACAGGGCGATGGGCTAACGCGCCTGTTGGGGAGCAAGCCGGCCAGGAAGGTGCTCTGGGCACCATGCATGGTAAGTCTCGCATCCTGGCTACGAAAGGAGGATGCATGCTGTCGACAGGGGAGGCCGTAAGCATTCTGTTTGGGACCTTGTTTGCAGGTGCAGCGTCGACATGTTGTTGC